CATTGAATAAATTATTGTTTGATTTTTACTAAATACTGTATAGAATTTTTTAATAGAAGTTTAATTAAATATTTGATTTTGTTATTGACAAACTTTGTCATTATTTAATTCGGTGCACGCTTAAAGTCCAGGCCTGGCACACTAACGCGAATCCACGTAAAGTACCCGTTAGGGAACGGCTATTTCCGGCACACAGTAGTGTCGATAATCGTTGGAAAGTCGGAAAAATAATATAGTACTTTACACCTGCACCTTGTCTGCACCATAGTGGAACTTAAAAATTTGCATAATTCCTTTTACTTTCCAATGGAGAAATACCAAAATACCAAAAATTTGCATGATAAAAGGTCAATTTGATCTGCGCTACTACATCAGATTTCTAATTGCGCCTGCCATTGAGATTCCAGAAGAGCTGCCATAATGATGCACAAAAGTAAACTTTAACCCTTTTTGTCAATGTATGTTAAAGTCGAACTGCTAAATTATATTAAGCTATATTAATGCTACTAACTAATAATTAAATTTCAAGTAATTTGGCCTAGAGGCATTAATATAGTCTAATGTAATCCAACAATCATTTGGCTTTAATAAAAATCAAGTTTACAGATGTTTATATTTGAATGTATGTTTTTTGCTTAAAAATGATATTAATACTTTTATATTATTAATAATATAAATAGTTTTGATGTATGTCAAAACTATTTATATTAATGATGGCATTTTATATTTTGATGGCATTTCAAAAGTAACAGAAAATTGATAATAATTCACAAAATAAATATCCCAGGCATTTCAAACTGCCATACAGGGAAAACACATTCTAAGAGAAGGTACTGCTTAATAGATAGTGTGGCATGCTTAACTGAAAGGGAAGCATATAAAAAATGGCAGCACCGTTTGCGCAGCATGCAATCATCAGATTTTCGTGGTCCATTGATCATGGATTGATGTTCACCATTTTTTAACACATTTATCCACTTGTACACTCTTTCTCACCAATGCAGGAATCTCCATGGTGTTGTACCATTCATCTACGAATTTTACAAGGGTTCATAGCCTATGACCACAAAAATTTGATGATTGTGCTGCACTGACAGTTGTCCTAGCACAGCTGTCACCAATGAGAAAGTGGGTCATAATGATGCCATTATTTGTGAAAACGGGCACAGTTCTTTAGAAGTTCTGGCCAGGGAATTGGATATCAGTGTCATACTATTGTCAAGGAGGTTCTCAAGTACAGTCGACCCCCCTATAAGATAGAGATACGTTCCATTCTTTAGGAATCCGATTTCTTACGAATCCTTCCAATCACAACCCGACACGTGTCAAGTTTACGGACTACAGCTGTTTGAAAGGTTTTCTTCCATAAAATTAATCGATTCTAGACTAATCCGACTCAACATTTCCAAAATACGTATATTTTTTTGGGAATAATCCGTATAAACTACGCTATAAACAAAAAATTGTAGGATTACTTACCGAGTGTCACCATTCGACATCGCCATTGCTCAACATTGTTTTCGTCGCGGAACAGCTCAGCAAACCGTGGCCGATTTCTAATAACTTATTTTTCTGCTAATAGTTCCTTGAACTTCGGAGACATCATTAATATAAATAATTTTAATCGCCGTTGAATAAGAAATGTTTCTTTCACAAGAAATGTATAAAATTACAGTACTGTATTAGACTTACGGTACCTAATTTACATACTGACAGACGATAGTTAGCGTAAAAATCTCCGTAGCGTGGCGCCACGCTAGACGGCGGAAATTATATATTTAATTATAACAAAGTTACAATAAGTTAATGTATAATTATATATACAGTACCTAATTTATATATAATTTATATAATACTGTCCAGACGATAGAAATCTCTCCGTAGCGTGGCGCTACGGACGGCGGGAAAGTAGTTCGGCTGCCCGATTACGTGTGAGGTAATTATAGGGAATTTTTACTGTTTTTTACGGATACCGGTCACAATTTTTTCGTAGTTTTATAGGAATCGTAATTATAGGGGGTCGACTGTATCACAAGTTGTATGCACACAGCCCATACAGCTTCTGCAACACTGGACACAATTTGAAGGTTATGATTTCAGATCTTATAGCATCTGCCATGACATATACTGTCCTGACCTTGCTCCCTCTGACTATCGTGTGTTTTGATCTCTGGAGGACACTTTGAGAGGATCAAGATTTGGGAATAATGACAAGTTGAAAGAAGCAGTGCATTCCTGGCTGAACACACAATAAAAAATATTTTTCTGATGGAATAAAGAAGTTTATGCAATGGTGTGAGAAGAGGGTATTGAAAAAGGTGATTATGTAGAAAAATAACATATCATTTTATAATCTCTAATTGAATTATACATCTGAAAATATTTAATTTGCTGTTACTTTTTTAAACACTCACATATATTGGACAATTCTATCTGGGTACATAACTTTTTGTCAAAACAGTATCATTTTTCCCTAATACAATTATTCAGCTTCTATTTCTGTAATACTATTTGTAAAATATCAATTTATTTATTCAAAAATAAATAAATTGATATTTTACAAATAGTATTACAGAAATAGAAGCTGAATAATTATTTTAATATGTGAGGCTCTGGACAGGTCTGAACCCTCACTAAAATTCGTGTTAAAATAATTGTTTTAGAGAA